TAGTTATGGGGTCGACTAGCAGGGTTATACCTCTCTGTTAGGGTTATAACCGCCCCAACCCTGTAAAATAAAGCTATCCCAGGGCTCGAAATACTGGGTGCATGTACACCCAAATTTGGAGCTGTGTGCCCAGTTTTTATCTGTGGGCGCACCAGTGCACCCAAATGTTTTCGGAGGTTCAATATGTTAAAAAGTAGTATACAGCATATTCTTAACTGTCGGAAAAATAATAAAATCATTGTTACCGGTATACTTCTTTTCTTTAGAAATGAAACATAATTAGTTTTTGCTGACATTCTACTTATTCTATCTTATATGGTGCACCCAAGAAATTTGTTGTGTACCTTAAATCTTTTAGGTTGGGTGCACCAATTCCCAAAAAATGAATTTCAAGCCCTATATTCTTACTTAATCGTGGGAGAAACTTCTCTGTGTGGCCTTGCCATCCATGGCTGCCGGCCCGCGGTGCTACAGTAGGATAATACCCCCCATGTTTACCTGTCTGTAGTGGTAGTGTAGTGATTGGTTTATTTCTTTCTCACAGTAACAAAACCACAGTTTCGCAGCGCACAAAATTGCGCGCTGAATTACACTGGTTATACAATAGTTAACTCATGATTTACTGATATTCAGTCACTAAAACATTATTACACGGAAATTCGCCAGGTATTTGAAATTACTCATATTTGAATAAAGGTTACTGTACTTACGATCAACTAGTTACTAATGCTTTACATCGTGCGGAATATATTCTCGGAGTAGTCATCAATAAAATATCTGTCATTATTACAATAAAGGCTAAAAATTCATTTTTAAGAAGATTAAAACCAAAGTCAGCAGGCATAAAAAAACTATTTACAATATTTCGGTAAACGACTAAGACATATTAAGTAGTGCTACCATGTAAGGTATAGGACTTTTTTTGTAGCGTTCGGTTTTTGTTTTGACAGTGTCCAAGTGGGAGCTGTTGCGTGTCTTTCTACCGCTAATCTCTCCTCGGCAGGGAGGTAGCCACTCACGGAAGCAGGTTGACTGTAGGAGCTTTTTAGCGAAAGTCTCACACAGGTGTTCGCGTCTTTGGTGCAACGTCGTGAGGCCTAGGGTGTGACAAGCGTCCGTGTAGCTTGTGTAGTGTGCCCCGAGAATGGTGCGGAACGCTCTGCGTTGTATCCTTTCCAGTTGGAGTCTCTGAGTTTGAGTGATGCCCGGTTGCCAGACTGGAACTGCATACTCGCAGGTCGGGCGTACAAAACTTGTATATACGGTGACAAGGTCGTCACTCGTAACTCCAAATGTCTTGAGTCTCCTCAGGAAGAATAGCCTCTGGTTTCCTTTCTTGACCATATGGTCGACCTGAGTGTTCCATTTCAGATCAGACTGGATATGAAGACCCAGAAGTTTTGCCACTTTGACTTGTACTAGGGGATAGTTGTCGATTTTGAGTGAGGGTAGTTGTGGTACAGATTTTGAAAAGTTCAGATACATCACTTTACATTTCTTGGGATGGAGTTTCATATTCTGTTCTGTTGACCATTTGCTGAGCTCGTCGAGATCTTGCTGAATAGCGGGAGGTTCCCTCACCTTGCGGCACTCAAGTAAGTTTAAATCGTCAACGAATTTTCCATCTCATGGAGACTGCGTTCTCGGCAGCACTGTTTATCAGCGCCAGAAAGATAATGGGACCAAGCACCGTCCCTTGTGGAAGACCACATGTTGTATTTCTCCAATCTGAGAAGGTGTTGCTGTAACGGACTCTATGTCTTCTGTTCGTCAGGAAACTGATGAGCCAGTTGGTCAATGAAGGTCGCAGGCCTAGAGTTAGGATGCTCGACACAGCAATCGTATGGTCCACTCTGTCGTATGCTTTAGCAAAGTCGGTGAGTACAAGTGTGCTTATTGAGCCCGGTTGATCAGATGTCTTGGCTAGTTGGTGGACGATATCTACCAGACAGTGAGTAGTTGACTTCCCTTTTAAACACCCAAACTGGTACTGGTCTATGTTGGGTGCGATGTCTTTAAGTACCCATGAGCAAATGATGCTCTCTGCTACTTTGGCGAGGATTGGTGTAAGAGACACTGGCCGCAGTTCATCAATGTCTGGAGGGCATGTCTTCGGAAGTGGGACTATGTTGGCTTCTCGCCATTGCACGGGTACATGTGCTTCCAACAATGAGGAATTGACGATGTCAGACATTGGCAAACTTAATTCGTATGCGAATTCCTTGATAATCCTACTGGGCAGACCATCAGGACCGGGCGCTTTCCTTACTTTTATTCTTCTCAGTTTCTCGTACATGTCCCGTGGTGTGATAACTGGTGGGGGCATTGCTGGAAGGAAGGCTGGTAGTCGTTCGAGGTCCAACGGTGGGAGTGATCGTGTCACCTGGGACAGCACGTCGTTAATTGCATCAGCAATGGCCTTGGGGTTTTCAGGGTGAACTCCGTCGACTTGAAGTATGAGTTCTTTGGCACGTGTGTTGAGCATGGTTTTTATTCCTCTGTACCACTGAGCAGGGTTGTCTTTACGGAGGGCTTGTATTTTCGTCTTGTAGAACCTTTTCTTGGCTTTGTTAATCTTCCTTTGGATCTTGTTTCGTAGACCACGCCATGTGTTGTCTTGTTTGGTTGGCGAAGGCTTTTTTGTCTCTGTTGTACAAGGTTCTTTATTTCAGGGGTGAGCCATGGTTTGTCGTTGCAGTGCATCTTGATGGTTTTGGTTGGAAAATGTTCTTCAAGTTTGCTATGTACCTTGTCGTAGAAGGCATCTGTCTTGGATTGGGTATCGGGGGCATTTAGCACTTCCTCCCAGTCATATGTGGTGATCCACTGACCAAATGACCTGGTTTTTGAGTCAGGAAATGGTCTAACTGTCATTGTCACGGTTTTGTTGATTTCGGCGTTCGTCTTGGGCTTGAGGACAATGACATTGTGATCGCTGTGTCCAATAGGGGGGTAGTGAGTCAGGCGTTTCGTACAGGTGGTCT